AAGAATAATTTGTTGAGCTAAAACGTGCCAAGATATTTTCCATTTGGCGAGCACTTCCCTTAAAACATTACCACCAGACCACAGAACAATTGCAGTAAATTCAAAACTTTCCAAATAACTCGTTTCTCGACGCTTGAATAGTTCCTAATTTAGATTTTATACTCGCATCTCGGGTTCGTAGCCCTTCCGCGGGAAATTGCAGACTTATATTCTGAATAAATATTTGTCTTTTTATACAAAGCCGGGTGAGGCGTGCCCGCACATACGCCGCGAATATTGCGGCGAGTTTGTTAGACTGTGTGTAAATAATGTGTATTGCAGGGGTCACACAAATCTGATATCTAATCAAACAATAAAAGGTTTGACAATTTCATCGGTCCGGTTTAAGGTCTTTTCCGTAATACCCCGATTTTCATACTATTATTGGCTTGAATAAAAAGAGATACCCGACCAAAGCTGATTACAAATTGGGAATTTTTTCATCCAAATAAAACGGTTTACGTACAAAGGGAAATTGGATAATTCACAAAGCATTGCTGGGCTAATTTTGTGGTCTCTAATTTCTAATGAACGATGTACTTACGTTACAGTATAAGGTTGATGTCTGCCTGTGATGTGGTAGGTATAAAGTTTAGGCAGTGTGGCTTTCAATCAAAACATTAATCTGTATTAATTGTTAAGTGAACTACGCACATTAATCTCGATGTATATGCTCCCATTGTTTCATTAATTTAACGACGAGATTATGTTTCAATTCACTCTGTTTCAGATTGGAGTTGAATTGTTGAATCATGGTATCTTAGTGCTGCAAATGGGCTATTTGGATATGACAATGTAACAATATTAATTAATCAGGCGTTTTATAATATAAAATCAATTAATGAATGAATTAAGACAGTTAGATCCAGTACAATCATTACTTAAGGCATGACAAACACAAATAACAAACCAAGATCATAACAAAAAGTTATATTAATTAATTCAATCTTACTAATAATTTAGATCAATTCAAATTTTAAAACTTAAAATGTGTTATAAATTAATAATAAAACTGCAAAATAAGAGAACAAAAGTTTTTAAATGAATTAGAGATCAAATTTCATAATGCAATCCCGTCAAAAATGATATTTCTTTATTATAGCTTGAAAATCATATGGAAAATTATCGTTACAAACATATTTCTTAAACAAATTGTGGGCTTATTATCCATATGACTAATATTACGAAATCTTAGAACGATTTTTTCATGACGAGCAAGATCATAAGGATTTACATAATCAAAAGAGGTCTCATTATGACCCAAGAAAAGACGTACCAAAGAAAATCCGTCAAAGTTGTTTGTGCATGCTTATTATAATAATAAACAGGAGTATTATTAAATTTCTTTTGTGTGTATTTATATATCTTTTTCTATATTTATGCGGTGTAATAATACCCGGGATTCGTGACACGGTGTAATGAAACATGAAAATGAAACATTGAGTGACGTTAATTTGGCAGAAATAATACATCATATGTTATAGAAATACTTGTATCTTATGACGTCACAGCGTTCTATCCTTAGTGTAGAGAATATGTGTACTATCTAGTTCCGAATGTTCTTAATCTTGGGAAAAGGGACGGGATTATAAACAGGTGCAGCTCCCAAGTTATTCGTCTAGACTTTTCAAGTAGCCACAAGTGTGATTGGCTAAAGGTACTAAGAGTTCGATGTTCCGGATGCGGCAGTGTCAGTATTGGCTTTTTAAATCATTTTCTAGTTTTTAAAATGTGTGAGGACTGGTGTTCGCTATGGGTCCATGGTATATCTAATAAGGTGTAAGTAGTGTAAGCTCGTCATCGTTCTACTGAAGAGGTAATGAATTTTCATAATATTATATTTTGCATTGATACGTTTAGGTACAGTATAGTGCCTGAATGTAGCATCAAAAACAAATGAACTACAACTACACCCACGTCATATAAATAACATTACACTAATTATGTCTAACATGCTGCCTTGTTGGCCGAGTGGTCGCAAGGGCGACTGCCGGTCAAGGGGTCTCGGGTTCGATTCCCGGGTCGGGCAAAGTACTACTGGGATTTTATAAATTCTCAGTAGTAGCACGAAGTCTGGAATTGCGCCCGGTATATGGCAATAGGCTCACCCCCCATTATATGGGACTCATAACATAAATAGTGAAAAGTGAGTGTTACATTGTACAGTGGCATAATGTACACCTCTGCCTACCCCTTCGGGGATAAAAGGCGTGATGTTATGATGTTATGTAATATGTCTAACAGAATGCCTGTCAACGTTGGTAATTTCACAAAGATATATAACTGAGCAAGAATATTCGGGAACCCTTACCCGACTCAATTAGAAGAATTGTTCTTATATTTGATACATCCGCTGTTTGGACGGTTGGCACTGATACGCAATGCGTGCGGTTCAATTTTATATAACTACTATTAGTGCTCTTAATATAATACTGTTTAGAAATAATACAATTAAACTGTCAAACACCAAGCGGTCACCGGTGACCGCAACCTATTGTTCTATAATTGTGTCTATAATGACGGTACTCGACGAGTTAATTAATAAAAAACTGCCTCGTTGGCCGAGTTGTCGCAAGTATGACTGCCGGGCAAGGGGTCTTGGGTTCGGTTCCCGGGTCGGGCAATGTATTACTGGGTTAAAAAATCTCAGTAGTAGCACGGTGTCTGGTATTGTGGTATATGGCAATAGGCACACCCCCTATTATATGGGACTCGTAACATAAATAGGGGAAAGTGGGTGTTTCATTGTACAGTGGCATTAAGTGCTGTAATGTACATCTCTGGCTATCCTTCGGGGATAAAAGGTGTGATTTTATGTTATGTTAATTGATGTATGTTGTACTCCATTAGTTGTAGACGATCAACAGAAAGTGTGTGTAAACCTAGGAATCAACTTTAATGAAGAAGCATAAGCGGTGTTTCCACCTTTCTATGTTGTCTTCCGAAAACTCAAACTATTATTTGTACTGTCTACGTTCTTATTGTTTACTGTTAACTGTCAAATTAACCCTCTGCAACTGACGTGGTTAAATTGTTACAATTCAACTGAGGTGTATATTATACCAGACACCATTTCAACAGCAAATATTTTTGTAGAATTAAAGTATAGCGAGCACTATACAGTAAGGTACTCGCAGCAGTGATGCTCGTATTTGAAAAATGACGGTATAACACGTGATTTTGTATTTCGCGGTGTCTGTGGGACTACACGTCAGCTGCAGACGGTTAAAAAAAATCTATTTCTATATTTTTAGCACCTAACTGTTGCCTGCCACTTTGTCCGCGTAGATTAAGAATTTTACGATATTATATATTTTTCTTTCAATATTCTAAAAATAAAAGTAGCCTATGTTACTCCTTTAGTCGATATACTTCTTTTATAGGCAGTTAGCTTAGTCCTGTCAAAAAAAAATATGACAGAAAAAAATATAAAATATGTTATTTTGATGTGTGTATCGTATGTATTATTTGCAAGTAGAAAAAAGCGGTTATTTAATGTATCTGTATAGATAAGAATATGTGACAATTAGTAGATTTCTACTGAAACTGAAGGGGCATGTGAATTATGTCATAATCATGTTATATGATACAACACGTGTCATGTAGGATTAAAGGAATACGACCAACTCAGGACTTGAATACCAATCGATTTAACACCCTATGCATGCTCTGCAATATTCAACAGTAATTTACGATTGTCGCCTGTAAGGCTAGTATTGAACTAGTTGTCGTACAAACCGTGTTTATGTAAATTCGAACTTAAGAACTACATCTTAAGATTTGGTTTTGGTAAATACTGTGGAGGAAGTGTTGTATACAGTGTGATTTTGACAAGTAAACATATTTGGCGAAAGCGTTTAAAGGTCAGTGCCGATTGTACTGTGCTTGAAATTGCTTGAAGAACTAAACAAATATTTATTTAGCTTACATTTACTTAGAAAAACCTAAGGTAAATAAGTAATAGCCTCATTAGTAATAATTTTATGAATATTATGATTTTTTTATTATCTGTTCTCTAATAGAAATAGTTAAAAATGTTTACGTACACTTTCGAATTTGGGACATTATGTGCAACCCCAACCAAGCAGCCTAGCCACAAGAACTCTTTATTAAGAATATCGTACACTGGTAAAGTCTAAATATAAAACAAAATTAGGTTCAGTATATTGTTAAATAATTGCTTCACATTTATTAATTCACTTTTATATCATCAAACAAACCCATAATACTAATTCGGGTCATTAAAATAGTATGCTAGAATACACACAACACAACACCATACAGGAAACATTGCGTGATACCAAAAACTATTTATTTATTTCGTTAAAATATACCTAATATAAACCAACTTACGAAACATACTTGATATTCCACTAAAACATCTACACTAAACACCAAAATTCACCTCTAAATATTTCACAAGAAAAAAAAACCAATAGATTTATGGCTTCACAGATAAACCTCCTTTCATTGAAGAAAAAAAAGTATCGCTTTACACGGCTTTGAAAAAAAGTTATCGACTCGAACAGTCGTAAATTAAAAACGAGATCTCGATTCCTTGAAAGATTTCCATCCATCGTTAGTACGTGACCTCGAAGGCTGTATAATCAACAGATCTTAGGACTTAACACCTGTCTGATGCAGTTTGCTGGAAAATACGCTTTAACTTTTAAGGGTGGTGGAGTTCAGTCGTGTCCCGACCGCGGTTCCGTTAGCACGCGCCCTCCGACGCGAGTGATAATGCAGCCCACCTAAACCAAAACCCCAAGTGACAATACGAATAAAATACATAAAATAAATTATCAAAGAATTAATTAAAACTAAAGTAATCCATCAAATATTAATATCAAAAAAATCGTGTTAGAGAAAAAAGTTTTAAAAGTTTAGCAAAAGTTTTTTTCTTATATATTTTTTTTTGAGCGTTTGATGTATTTTGTATAAAGCCGATCACGTTTGTTCGATGAAGATGATTGAAGCGAAATCTTTCAATTTCTTTTGTGCTCATTTCTAATCAGGAACGGTAAGGCAATATCGATATAAGGAAAAAACGAGAAAAGAAAGAGTTTTTATTCCGTGGCTTTGAAAGGGATGTAAGAAATGTGTAATAATAGGCTTATAGCGATCAAGGAAATTAATCAAGTTTTCTTTTAAGTGCTCTCCGTACATAATATTTCAGTAGATTTTAAACAAAACTTTTTGAAGCAGTTGCTGAAATATTGAATTAATTTGATGTGATATTTTTCTATATCAAAATAAAAAAAAAAACAAATGTAAGCAAATAGTAGATGGATGATAGTAAATGTCTAATATAAATGTTTTAAGTAACTTTTTAAGCCCAATTACTGGCAATGATCTTTAGATCCTATACAAATACTAATTGATATATTTGCGCTGGTTCTGAATGACGATTTTACCTTCTTTCTTTTTCACATTTTTTATAGGCTTTTGAAGTAAATCAGTTGTATTTATCCCATTTTAAAGTGGTGTTGAATTTAGTTTTCAGCATTGGTAGGTATTTAAAGTTAGTACTAGATACTAGATACTAATTTTCCCGATTAAAATAGTGCCGATTCTTTTCAGTTATTAGAAGTAAGAATATGAAGTACTATTTCCAACATCCCTTATATATATATCGATAAGATAGAACTAAAATTTTAAACACATATTCCGCGAACGTAGTCTTAGAAAAATGCTCTATAAAAATAAAGTATTATACCAAATTGAAACCAAACCATTCACAGCTTAATAATATTTAAAGATACTACAAAAAATTACCATCGGAATCGTAATCTTTCCGCACCCAAGTGTAAAACGACGTTGGATTAAAATACCCCAACAAATATTTTTGTTATCATCGAACACGTTTTACGTGGATTAAATTTGAATTAGGCAATCCCATCCCGGATGTTGGCCATACTAATATATATAAAATACTACAGTATGTTAGTTGCTATACAATTCCGTCCCTACAAAATCCATTTGCCTCCTTTTCACGCCCTTGCGGTATCTAATTTAATAGCATTTTGTTGGGCGTGATTGCGTTAGGGTTGTATTGTTTCTTTCTCACTTATTAGAATATATTATAGTGGAGATATATAATATATTTTATAATTTTTTATATTTATTTAGTATTTTTATTACACACCTACTCTTTTCTTTTCTTATGGTGCTATTAATTATTAGAATAGTCCTAAGGAAATCGCTGTATTTTGACAGCCACGACACAGGCTGTGCCTAGTGCGGTTGGCATTGTAATTATACTGCACTACCATGTATGCTTTGGGCTGGTAATAAAATAATAAAAAATATATTTATTACATAATATATTTTTCAATCCACAACTGGAATACAAGCTACACCCATACAACATTCAAAACCACACGCAGACTGACAGTAGCCAAGTAGTAAGCAGAAGAGGAAGAGATAGATTTAGAATTCAGATTTAGAAGGGGGCTATGAACATCGTTTTTCCTACGGATCGCGGGACGCGGTGCCCATTTTCATCGCGTCAAACTCGAGAACGAGAGACCTCCACATATAGAGGTAGTATATGTAGTAAATGAAGAATTAAAATAAATAGTCCATTCTTGTAAATGTAATCAACAATTCATCGACAGCCTGTGACAGTTAATATTTGACTGCGCGCCCTTCTACATTAGAGGACTGCGAGACTTCTTGGAAAGCAGGTTGAATAGGTTATTTTGTAAGTTGACTTGACTGCATTCTCATTGAAATCTTTCAGAATAGCCTAGCCTAGCGCTAAACTGGCGTTTAGCTTAAAGGCACTGGCCTTTAGCTAAACGCCAGTTTAGCCAGTGCCTTTAGCTAAACGCCAGTTTAGCGCTTGTCTACCGAGAGATTAGAAAACTAAATGTATAATACTGACAAGAGTGTCAAGATGTACGTCAATCCCATATAATTTGGTTTTCTATTCTACAAGTAGACAAGCGCTAAATGGCATTTGGCTACAGCTGCAGGTTTTTTAGAGGATATTGTGGCCTGGTCTCTTAAATAAATGTTTAGTCTCTTACAACTGATTTCAATGACCGACCCCAATCCGAAATTTTTTTATTAAAATCGTTTTCGACATTAATTCTATAGAGTTTCTGTTAAAAATTAAGATCGATGCAACGATTTCGTTCCAAAATCAGAATCATATTGATAGTTAGTCAACTGATACGATACTTTGAGGGGAGTAGTGATAGTGACAATCAAATATCTATTCTACTCTAATTAATAAATATATGTAATGGATTTTCATAGGTCAGTTTATACGCCGAAATACTGTAAAGCTACTCAATTTCAAGTTGGACCTAAATATCGTGCCGTCTCTGTCATTTTACAAAGAATTTATAGTGACAGAACTATCTATACGTAAGCGCGACTGAAAATTTTGTGACGTTTGAGTCTTTTAGCGCACCTATGTCTCCTACTCCTGCTTTAATACATATTTTAGCTGCTGCTGTTAGTTAAGAACTACATTTTAGTAATTTAATTTCAATATTTTTTCTTTAATTCAATTTACAAAAATAACTTAATGTGTATTCTTTTACCTTTTTCGTGGAATTTATTTAACGAATTCACTTTGTTCTTTTTTTGTTTTACAAAAAGTAGCCATATCGGTAAGATATTTGTGTATTTGAGAAAAAGCTAACGAACTTAGGTTCATCTTATCTACACAATTTCACTAATTGAAATCAATGGTTCACTGATGTAAATGTTCGGTAGTACTTTTATTTTGTATTTTTTGTTATAGTCCTTAGTTCAATGTCAATCGTTTGTGTTAATTGATTCCTTTTAGGTACATCTTTAATAGTATTTTCTTTTAGTTAAATGAATCACTTTTCGTAGTTATCAATCTTTATAGAATGGGTATTCAGTCTCTGTTTTAACTAATTAAACGTAGTTTGTTAAAAAGCTTTTATAACGTTTTTTTTTTAATATTTGAAAAATTAAAGTCATATCATATTCCCTGTAAATGATCGCGATGAGAACATTAACCCCCTTTTCTATGATAATATTATTAAGTCGTGTACCTAGAACACGTTTGTCAGGACCCTTATTTTTCTCCTGGGAGTTGAAATAGCCGATTAAAGAACTACATAATTGACAGCAGCAGAACAGCAGCTAGGGCATCAGCGTTCGCTAACAACCCTAAAAATAAAAAATAGCGCTAGAATACAATTGCCAAGTGTCGAGAATATGGCAAACCCTCTTAAGAGAAAAAGGCTTGAAGTCCAGCAGTCAAACATTACGTACGGACTGTTGATGTTGTTACTGGTGATGAGCATAAATATGTAATGAATGAAACCTATACAAACCCCTAAACATCACAATCATCATCAACAACAGTCAATAAATGCCCACTGCTGAGCAAAGCTTCTTCTCACACGGAGAAGGTTATTCACCACGCTTGCTCAATGCGGGTTGGTCAACCCATATACAACTTATGTTCTATCCCTAAAATAATCATCTAAAACTGCAAAAAAAGTATTGACTCACAAGTCACAACGCAATCTTTTCGCATTAAGGTCAGCCTATCGGTCCAGTGGTTACAGATAGAACGCCCAACAAACCAACATACTCGTAGTAATATCTCATAGCAAGCGGCCATAATGCAATTTCATCCAATACCACATCGTACGATGTCAAGTTTGATCACTCTCGCTATGAATTTTTATTTTACTTTCAATAAAGTAAAATAGATATGAAACCCTGCTTACATGACTAAATATTTATCGAGTTATTATTCAAAATAAACTAGTTTTACGATGTTGTGGTTACTCGCAACTTGTAAAATATTGCAATAATAAAAAGTTAATATTATTTACTTTTTGGATATAAATTCAGCTATAATTCGTTAAAGGTAATTTTTAAATTGTGTATTGTGTGTGTGTGTGTGTGTGTGTGTGTGTGTGTGTGTGTGTGTGTGTATGTGTGTGTGTGTAAAAGAAAATGTTTTACATTTTGTATCTGTTATTGTAGTTAGTAAATCCAATTTTATTTCAAGTTGTTGATAGTGATATTTTGAAGTGATTTCTAAGTCATGTTTTATAAGGTACAGATTTGAACAAAGGGTTGCCTTCAGAGTTAAATGTGGAAATGACGAATCGGTCCCAAAAGAATCACGATAAGTTAAAATACTGTCTTGTATTAACATCTCGGTCTCTAAGGACCGACGCTTTAACCAAAACTTACCGGAAATTCTCCAATAATACCTTTCTTTATCACAATTTGAGAAGCGCTTTGTGATAGTAAAAGATCGCTTGAAATACAGTATTTTTCTTTCTTTATTCTCGACCTTAATTTTGTGAACTTTCTTCGTTCCACCTTAAGGGTGGAACCCACCTTTTCCAGAACATTAAAGATAGGGCACAGGATTTTTCTAAGAATATTCATTACGTATTCAAAAAGAAGTGGTCAATCAAGTCCCTTCGTAATAATGGCTGCCTAAATTACAAGTTTCATTGTTGTCTGTGCCATAAAATGGGGGTGACAAAGAGATCTTAATTACCAGAAATTATGGAGTGTAGGAAAAGTTTTGGGCAATACCTAATTGATATTAATATTTGGTGTCGAGTAAAGTCGCAAATATGTAATTTATTTCCAGTGGAAGGTTTTTCGTTGGCCTAATTTTGTTGGTGAACCTACATATATGGTGATGTAATGAGTGCGTGGTGTACAGATAATTGTGGTCCCAAAAGGGGAGACGTGCGTAAGAACAATTGACTTGAGTACTTAAGTGACATTCAATTTGAACTGATTGACGGTGTTGTTTGTTTTCGGAAGTGTTCGTAACGAAATGTGTTGTTGTCGTGTGTAAGTGAATTATGTTGCCATGGATTCCGAAATAGATATCCTATTGTTTATCAACTGCACCCAGCAGATTTTGGGTCGGCAGCAGTCTTGGGATCATCTCAATGTGACTCAGATCCTGGACCTGCTACCAACGAAGATCCTTGAAGACATCAATCTTAAGTGAGTAGATTTTCATAGTTATGAGTTTATTTTTTTATTTTCATATTTATCTTGTGTGTTATCCAGTGTGTTATCAAACTATTTGGTTTTTATCTTAAACTATTCCAGCTCACAGTTAGGCAGGGTTTGAGTAAAGCCTACCAGTCAGTCAGCAATATAAAACCTTATCTCTATCTAGTGATAGTACCTATGTTTTTCTCTAAATCTGGAGACATTTTTAGAAGCGATTTTGTAGAAAAATATCGACAGTGATCAATGTTAGCTTTCAACAGAGTCTCCAAATAAGTCATGTTTCTATAACACTTTTTTAGACCCAAGAATATCGAAAGAAGTCGTCACAACAGTTGGCTTAACTAGGAAATCGGAAAAACCAGAAGTGAAAATCTAGTTTACCCAATAGACGTCTTGAAAAGAGCTAGGATAACTGTTGATACAACAAATTCGGGTTATAAGTTTATTCTGAGCAATTTTGTATATTATTTTATTTTATTACAATTGTGTAAGGTCTAAATAGATAATATAATCAGTAGTTCTCATGAAATCTAGAGTCATGTAAGACGTTAACTAAAACTTTTTAAATTGTTTTTTATTATTCTCGTAATAAATTTATTTATACATATTAATTTTTATTTACATTAAATAGGGTCACTAGAGTTATAGAGAAACCTCAAAAAGTTGTTATCGACCAAATTATTATACATTACGTTCAACATTGTGTTTCTTCAGAAATATTCGGCTGTAGGTAAGTCAAAGTTCATGCATGATCGAATATCTGATCCCTTCTTATTGGAGTGGGTTTACAACCGCACGAGTTTAGAACTTCGGGATTTTGGGTTCAGTAGAAAAAAAATGCTTTTCAAATCTTATGACTTTATGTCACTCACAGTTAGTCATAGAATCACGTCTTGAGACTAAGATTTTTTTTTATGGCATATACAACCAGATGGATCACCTGATGGTAACCAATCGGCGTCGCCCATGGACACCTGGAAAACCAGAGGCGTTACAAATGCGTCACCGGCTTTTTGGGGATTAGGAGTTTGAGAATCGTTGGGGATTCAGGGATTGGGGAGATTGGGGAAGGGGAAGGTAATTGGGTCTCCGGTAACCTCACTCACACGACGAAACACAACGCCAGCGTTGCTTCACGTCGGTTTTCTGTGAGGCCGTGGTATCACTCCGGTCGAGCCGGCCCATTCGTGCCGAAGCATGGCTCTCCCACACTAATTTTTTTTTTACATTTTTACATTAAAACAATTTAAGATAGTTAAAAAGTGATTGGTAGAAACGACGGAATAGAATAGACATTATCAAATCAGCCGAATATAGCCGGTAAAAATACAAATGATCCTTTATAGGAAACACATTTTTTCAACGCTACGGAACTTGATCGTAGGCGAATTCGTCTCGCAGTTCACCGGTTTTTATTATTCTTTAAGCCTCCTCAAAAAAATTGTTCGGCAAACCCTTAAAATTGTTGGACCTTAAAGAGGAAAACACTTAAACCGGCGCCCTCTTGTTTTTGAACAAAACCCGTTGTTTCCAGTTGTATTTGATCGGGGTTAACCGGATCCCAGACAGTAGAAATTTCTTCAACTCACCCCTTTATGTCTGTCTTTTGTAAAATAAACCAGAGTAAATTATACAACATTTTGTACAATTTACTTTTGAAGTTAGTACCGCAACAAGCTTAATTCGCTAAACAAATTCAACAAGTGTTACAATGAAATATTATGTTCCTATGCGTTTTAATATTTAAGTAGCCACAGATTATATAACCGAGCCGGTATGAAAGAGGCGTATTTCAAGCTCTTGTTAGGGAACAAATGGAAAACATATTTTTATCTTTAATTACCAGTAAATAAGTAAATGACTGCCTCATTGGCCGAGTGGTCGCAAGTGCGACTACCGGGCAAGGGGTCTCGGGTTCGATTCCCAGGTCAGGCAAAGTAATACTGGGTTTTTCAAAAAATTCACAGTTATTGCACAAAGTCTGGAACTGTGCCCGGTATGTGGCAATAAGCTCACCCCCTATTACATGGGACTCATATCATAAATAGTGAAAAGTGGGTGTTACATTGTACAGTGGCATAATGTACACTTCCGCCTACGCCTTTGGGGATAAAAAGGCGTGATGTTATATTATGTTAAATACATTAAATTATATTCACAGTATACGTGCTAGCAAAGAGAACAGCACTACGCCAGCATTGATTGAAGCAATTCATGAATTTTATGTACTGCAAACTTCTCCTTACGACGTCAAACTTTATTACTGTGTGATTTTCCACTAGGTTGGTTCAAGTGCAATCGCATGAGAATGCAAGTTGAATTTCGGTTGAGTTGCCAGACGAACAGATAAATGAAAGTATATGCAACTGGTGTTCTTTTCAATTCAATGGACAATTCATTTATATTTGGTTGAACATGGCAAAACGTGAAAAATTATTTTGATCTCAATCTTACAAAAAAAAAAATCGATGATAATATCAAATAAGATTAAAAATAAAGTCTAACAAAAATTGTATCATAACGCGTCTACCCTTCTAAGAAAAACGAATACTCTAGCTAGACGAAAGGGTTCAATAATTCAATATAATATACATTATTCTAGATAACGATTTCAATTCAATTACATGCTCACATGACAAATATTAAGTAGGTAAGCCAGCATAATTCATCTCCCGTTACTAGAGAATAAAGGGTCATGATCAAACTAGATAGAATTAATACCAATATATTATCCCAATATAGCCTAGATTCAATATAATCCCTGTTCGTACTCGTATGAATCTCTAGTGCCATTTATTAACATATTATCAGTAGTTTATTGGAGCGATGCCAAAAGCCTATAGTAATCGAGTAGTATTAAAGTTAGTCTACGGATAAAGAGGTGGTTCTAGGACCTAGGTAATACAAAATAGCTTTTAAAATGACAGCTGTTGGTTTGTTTTATTCCGTGGTTAAAATTTTGATATGATAATCTTTATATGTTTGTCGCGGAGAACCTAACGGGTTATCGGGCCTCCGGCTCGACGTGCAGGAGAAGGAACGGGGTGGTTTTTAGTCAGTAAGAGTCTGACACTACCTCCCGCCTCACCTAGGCGGGAGCAGTCATTCGATGATTTTCTCCCCTTAAAAAAAAACTTTATATGTTTATAATTATGCTCATGCATTATTCTTATAGACTACATAACTTGAGCAGGTAGTCTTATTATTTACATTTTAGATTGAGGAATAATTAAAGAAGGACCTTCTTCCTTGGTTGGAAGGATTTGTGCTGAGTGTAGATAGAAAAAAATCTAAAAAAAATCCTTTTTTATTACCAGAGAGATAATAATTTTTTTTTACACATTTCCAGGATCATAGCTGTGGCCAGATCAAAAGAATCTCGTCGCATGTTAGAGTCGTATGTGTTCTTTTACGTCAGTTTCTCCATATCCATTTTATACGTTCAGATAATTATACCCATTTTGTTTAGAATCGGAACATCAACCAAACAAGCAATTCAACCAAATGTGATTGGTCAATTACTACATACATACCCATTCTTCGTCCTCTCATCTCTGGCACAATGGAAACGCACAGTAATGGTAGGATCTGTCAATTGCCATTATGCTATCCTACGCTTGACCTCTACTCGGATTTATTTGGGGTCACTGCATTTAGGATGGTAGATGGCGCAACTCGCTTTGTATGTTTGAGTGGTCAGTAAGCTCACTCAATACTTAGCTTCACTTAGGTCGGCCGTACCTGCTCTTAACTCCGATACATTACTGAGAGACTCTTATGTAAATTAATAAGCAAAGTCTATGTAATTTTCAATAATTCTGTAAAGTAAAAATTGTGCACATTTTAAATTATTATTTTTAATAAAATTTTACCGAAAGTTTCCTTCCCCATGATATTCAATTTTACCTTCATGAAATTTTGTATGCGTATACATTTATGTAGATATATTTTCATTGTTTAACCGCCATGACAGTTTTAGATAAATATCACAAAAGACGTCGGTTCGCGAGCTCTCAGAAACACGGAGGGTTCTTGATACGAAACGAAGGTTATATACTTCTGTTTGTATAGACAAGTCCATTATTGTCATTCTATTTTTAACTCGAAAAAATAATATTGGAAACCTGTTTCATGCAATGAATTCTATTGTTAACGGTTCAAAAACCTAAGTCAAATATTCATTGACTTTCATTATTAGGTATAGGAATTAAGGAGGTATGCAGACAAATATAGTCTTTCGTTGCCCTTAAAAACGTTCATATTATTTGACGTACAAGCCAAACAATACTATTAGATATATTTCGTTTGACACAAACCTGATGACCTGACAAAAGCCATGTCGTAAAAATGTGTCTACTTTGCTGCTAACAAGACAACAATGCCCAATGTCAAATAATTGAAGGAACCAATGTCAAATAACTGAATATTGTTGTCTGTATTTTATTTGAAAGAGGGAGTAGATAGACTTATATATGTATATGTATGTACTGTATTACAATAGCATTGAATATTTGGCAAAGAAATATTTTAACTGGCAAATATGTAATCGAGTTTGCCACTAAAAATATTAGAACTGAAATCAGTACGTAATTATCGTGTTTTAGTCTAGTTTTAGTCTGTGAGGTACTTTTCCGCGACCAATTATTGTTCTAAACTAAATTATATACTTTCCAAATTTACTTTTCTTCGAATCGAATCTCTCATTTAACTTTACGATATAAGGTAAAATTAACAACAACCTTTATATAAATGCTTATTAATGTATTTATTGAACATCAAACGAGTTTACACCATTCCTAGAAATAATGTCGGAAACTCAAGTGGGATGTTAAATTGTTACGATTACGTCGATACTGAGAATAGCGATTAATATCAGATAATTTTAATCGATTCACTGCATTTTGAAAATGCGGCACTTCTCTAGTATACCTACGTATTCCATATTGAAAACTTTCCTTAATATTCTATATTAAAATTGTTTGTGGTTA